TTTGTACACATAACTGTAGTTTTAGTAGTAGTAGGAGCAATCAGTTAGCTTGGAGTATTGTATCCATTATTAATGAAAATAAATATCGCACCTGCATGTTCAATACCTATCATTCTTAATCTTAAAATAGCATCTATTAAAGACAGTGCTTGGGGAAATTTGAACTATTGTCAAATTTTCATGTAACATTCCTAAATGAAATTTATGTCAAAAAAGTTTATAAAAAAAGGGTATTTTTGAAAAAGTTAGGATTTCTGTCAATGATCTTTAGTGATAATATTAGTTTTCGTTACCGTCGTGTATCTTTATTTAAATTTGTGTTTGTTATTGTAAGTTTTTTAGTTATAGACTAAGAATATTTTCTATATTCCTAATGTTAGTATTATATGTCAAAATTCAATCATAAGCATTTTTTTTTATTTTACCTAATAATTAAAATAGGATAACATGTTCTATAAAGTCGAATATGTTCGATTATACTCTTGCCATAAAAGAAATATGTCGGACATTATACGAAGAACCGGTATTAAGAATATCTATTAAAAAATATAATTCTATTTCTATTTGTTGGTCGGCGCCTCTTGCAATAACATTTTTACAATGAAAATAGCTAACTGCCCACGTTATTCATATCATTATGGCACGGTGTAATGATACAATAAGGGATTGAATAGTACCCACGAGAACGAAGCTTCGGGCAAATGCATTAATGTAATTCCATGGTGCCTATTTGTTAGAATACTAGAAACAGCGATCTACCATGAGCTATTTTTAATTTATAAAATCATTTAAAATAATTGGCTTGATTAAGCACTCAATGTACAATTTAAACTATAAGTATTTTTTAATAATAATTTAGTTATACATTGTCAACTGAGTTTTATAATTTCGTTAAAGGATGAGAGTGATTAAATTGCCAAAATAAGTAGAAAAGAAGACGAAGGAAGAAGTGTGATATGTAAGGGGGGATGTATCTAGTTCTTTGAAGGGTGTGTGTTTTATTTCTCTAAAATAAGTGTTGTCACTATTAGAGTGAGTTCGTAACTGGGGTGATGGAAGAATGTTTATAGTGGTTAAAAATGTAAATTTGGTACAATACATTTTTAAGAAAGGAATATCTTTCTGAAATTGGCACGGGAATAGTTCAGTACTAGGAAAGCCATAGTAAAAAGCTACAATTAATATAATTAGATTTTTTAGTTTTAGTCTCATATTGAACTTGGTTACTGCATAATTTTTTAATCAAGCTTTACAGACAGACAGCTTTCAGCTAGACAGACTTAAAAGCAATTTAAAATACACTGATAGTCTATAAACTAGACACTTTTTATTATAAATCACTTGAGCATAGTTGCGGGAAACAGCTAGTAGCGCGTACATGACTAATGATATATGTGTGTTCACATATTATTACACGTGACTGTACAATACACAGACCCATTACGTATGTTTATGTTACGCTTTGTACACATTTCGTTCTGGGCGTGGGTTTTATGCCAATCCGAGCCATTCCGAACGGTTTCTGTGACGTTGGCTCTTGCTTTTCCGATTATTTGGTCTGAATTCCGTTATTTCCCTATTTGGGTGCGGAGTCTTACTTAATTGTTTCACACTGACTCAGTTGGTGTTCTTTTGTTCATTATTTTTATACGTTTTTGATTTAAATTGAAAGTATACCGTTGTATAGACTTCTTACTGCGACCGGCGGTTTTGCACGCGTGAATTAAGATAAAAATTATTCTAAGAAATTAAATGAAATTTATTCAGTAAAACATAACTGCAGTTGAAATAAGTTACAATTGTAATATTAATAATATCTTAATCTAGGATAAGGCCTATTTGAGTACAAAATTAGGCCTTTGAATTGGAAATGAAAGCATTATTTTATTGCATCTAAGTGAAATTGTTTGGGGTCGCTATAGTCCTTTCTAAACCGCCATATCTTCCATTGAGGCCTTCGATTGTATGGACGTATTTATTTTATTGCCAATTGTTTGTAACCTCTTGGAAGGAACGTGCCAAGTATTCAGTGCAAAAACTATTTCTCTTTCAATTTACCTACTGTCTATTGATCTACGTAGTAAGACATTTATTTGATTTATTTATTAAAGATGGTACATATTTAATAAGATTATTTACGTGTATTGCATAAATTGGATCAAATGTTGTCGATGTTAATTCTATTTCTTTGTTTACCCAGCTTGTTTGTTTTATTTTGTCGGTTCTTGTAAGTTCTCAAAGGTTATTAACCTAGTTCTGGGGCAGCATTTGGGAACGCCTCTGTTTAACTTTACATACACATTTGTCCTCTTTTATTCGATAGTCTTGTGAAATAGTATATATACCTATAGATCTGTTTACTACTTTTGAATATGACTTTCTTATTTATGATTTTAATATTTGATTGAAAAGATTTTGATTATCAATGTAATGAAATCGGCATTAAAAGACATTTAACACGAGTATAATTATTTCTATTTCTATCATAAGGTACAATTTAACATTGCTAAAATTGAATACGCCACGCTACATGTAATTGATATAAATCGTTATTTATAGCAAAGATTGCAAAGAATTTCAGACAGAAAAATTAGTTATCGAAATAATTAATAGAATCTATAAAACATTGTGACTTATGCTTTATATATATATATATATATATATATATATATATATATATATATATATATATATATATATATATATATATATATATATATATATATATAAATATATAGTCCCACAACTCTATAAAATTAATTAGAATTACTTTTCTTCTCCTATATCATACACAGATATTATAAAATATGCTTCCTATTAAAGTGCTTAAGTAATAGACTAGGCTAGGGAGAGTAGGGCCGCAAGAGCCTTCGGAAGAGCGGGCGGAATGTGCGCGCAAGGTCATTGCGCCCTGCGCGGTCATGCGCTTGCGCCCCCGGCTTCGTCCCGCGCGCCTCTCACCCCCCACCTACCACCACATTGTCTCGCGATCAGCTGCGGATAAGGGGGAAGCGACCGCACCGAAAGGCGATAGGAACCATTTCAATGCGAAACTAACTCCATTTTTCCGTTTTGTTAGTTCGCTCGTCGGATGCACGAACGCCTAGGGCGATATTGTTCCTACTTTAGCGCCATTTTCTAACCTAAAGAAAATTATTATTGGTGCCTTGTCGAAGTTTATTTACGAAGCTTAGTCCTTTTATCTTGCACCGTAATTGAACTTGGCTGGCCTGTGCATGCAAATGTGTTTAGGTAAACGGACAATTCAGTGTCATAATGATATAACATAATAAAATAAGTCTATACATGTCTTTAAAAAATAGAATTGAGAAACTCCTCTTTTGTTTGAAGTAGATTAAAAATAATAAAGTTTGATTTATTTTTTTATGGTATGATTGGAAGATAGACATCATGATTGTTACTTATGATGTAAAACTATAAAGATAGTACTAAATAAAATAAAGAATTTAAATGTAAAATTCCTCTTCAAATCTCACTGTATCAGTCTTTAATTTGATTTATGAAAAAAAGTAAAGTAAGGCGAAGTATGTATAATAAATCCAAAGTTTTAATACGTTCTGGCGGGACGATTTAGATAATATAAAGATTAAATGTATCAAGTAAAATAACACATGTACATAAATCTATTTACATTGACATTCATCGATGCTTTTATTTTTTAAAGTGGCTTAAGCAGGTGTGACTAATTTTACAGTTCGTGACAAATAACTTAACGATATGCAAAAAATATCATGATTTGCCCCAATCCATGTAAAGTGGCAATTATTCGAATTCCGTTACGGTGTTACTATCTACATATTTTCACAGGACAGGTCTTAATAAAGAACATTTGTATATTTAATGTGTTTGAATATATTGAACTACTATATAATTTCGGTGTATAGATATTATTGACTTTTATAAAAATGTCAAAATAAGAGGTAAAATCTTTGAATATTATAGTTATGTTAATAATTATATTAAAACTTTCTTTATTTGAATATACCTATATGGTATGAATTATCATATTTTTCATATATAAGAATTCAAATAGAATGCGGTAATACGTCTGCATCCTTTAAGAAATCTAAATGCCAAAATTCAGTTTTTAAATATTTCTAATTGGTCATAAAGTAAATCAGTGGTAATAGAATAAGTTATTTATAAGGATATTATTAGTCAGTTTTACTGCATTTATTACAATTAATTGCCACTGTCTTTTTGATTCTTTAATGGCAATACGACTGAATAAATCCTAATAGAATGACAGAAATCACTGGTGCATGTAATGAAGTGCACGAAGATACTTACTGACATAATTCGCCATTCAATTTCTAAATTATGATCCGTGCGTACATACTACGTCAGACTTACTTGATTGTAATAAATAGAGTGTTAAAAATATATGCATGTCATTTGTCAGAGCAGACTTATGACATGGTATTAAATTATTTTAATATCTTAAATGTGCGAACTACGAGATGGGCGTTTACGGTCGATTTATTTAATATCTATTTTGCATATTAGTTTTGTATACTGACAGTTTAATTTGGAACAAGTAGAAAGTTGTGTCTATATTTGCACTAATTAGGTACCACCCAAAGTTCCGGTTAATGGATAAATAAAAATCGTACTTACTAGTGTACAGAACACAGATAACTGGTCAATAAGATGTTTCACAATTACGAATCGTATCTTGGCGTAGATGGAAAATAGTTACTGACCACTTTTAACGGTACACCATGCGGTATTACGAATTTAGTGCATTCTAATATTTTCTTATTGTTGATAAAATTGAATATAACTGTGTCTCTATTTTGCGAAAATGTTTGTGAGCAGTCTGTGACAATTGATCTGTCATATCACGTAATGAAAGTAATAGAATTTCAATTGACAGATTTGATAGTCGCGCGCGTGTTCTAGTGTCTTGATTAAATTATATTGCGTTTAATAGAAATTTTGATCTTATTTAACTGAGTACTAATTTTATTTTGTTACAGGATTGGGTTCCTGAGGTCAAAACCGAATATTATCTCGAGACAGGTAAATTGATTTTCATAATACTGATAAGCAAGTAAACCTTTTCTATACCAGGAAGATCCTAAGGGGATACAAAGTCCAGCAGTAGACGATGGGACAGGATGTGGATGGGTTAAAGTGATACTGATAATTTACACACAGCAATATATTAACTTCGTGATTTTTTTTACTTAGAAGTAACATAAAAATTACATAAATTTAGATTATGATAAAATTTTCAAAATGTTTATAGTGGAATTCTAAGGGGCAAAATTTTTTTATGCTACTTAGAATGGCAAACAAGCTGACAGGTTACTTGACGGAAAGTGGTAACCGTCGCTTATAAACATGACACCATGGACATAACAAAGTATGCTGTTTCGTCCATGATACCCCGCATGCGTTGCAATTCCTGACGACTCAGGTGTTATTTTTCTGTGCCTTGTAAATTCACTGACATATCCCAATAAAGTTCATGTATAACTTTATCGTGATCATCATATATCTAGATAAATTAGCAGATGGATTTATTGTACTATCAATTGTATAAAATTATACGTCTTAAAATATTTAATAAAAAAAATTTAAAGGAGAAATATTTCATCAATTTATACAGAAACTGTACCACCAAGATATTGAGAAACTATTTACTGATATTAAAAGTGGGTTTATAGTTTCACAAATAGATAGATGGATCCAGTTAATTATGATTTTATATATTATTTTGACAGTACAATAAGCCTTAGTCCATTTACAATGAAGTGAAGGACGTTTTATGAGGTTGCATGATTTATAGTAGTCTTTGTTTGAATGTGTAGAGTCATAAGCTGGGCTGCGAGCATTATTCAATTGATCGCATGATTTATCGATATTAAATTCGCACAGGTGATTCTTTTGTTGTTATGATCGACAGAAAAGAAAATCGATGTGTAGTACTTTAAAGTGAAAGTTGTAAATGGACGGTACGTCTATTTTAAAACTGAATTGATTTTGATTTTAGTTTTTAATCATCCGTATAGATGTTGCTTTGATGTGAAGCAAAAAATAATCACTTTCTTTACAAAATGTATACGGCGAATGTATGTTTTTTGTTATTGCCGTGTTCCCAACAACTGAAAGACAGATCGAGGTTAATATTATAGAATATTGCCTTTTTAGTATGTATAATGATCATTTCTAAGGCTACTTTGTGCAAATTCTACATGTCTGTCAATATTATATTATTACAAATATTAAAATTACTATGTATTTACATTATTAATTATTAATTTAATTAACTTAAAAGTTTTAATGGTCGTTTATTCTACTTGATAGTATACTCAAGCGTGTATGAGATATTGTACACGCTATCCCATATATATATTATCAACTTGTAGACAGACGGTTTCATTTATAAAGAAATCTGAGGATGTTGGCAAAACTAATACATCACATCACATACATTTTATTACTTTCCATCCACTTAATCTTTTTGATGACATTAAAATTTGAGTTTACATGTTCGACGCCTTTATTAACACTTCCGGAATTAATTGATTAATGTATAGTGACATTTAATATTATCTTTAACCTGTTTAAGTCAAGTACAGATAAAGTTATATGTATGATTACGTATAAGCAGGTGGCTATTGAGATGTTATGAGTCAATTGGTCGAGTGACAGCCAATGCTGGCAACGTTCACTGCCGGAGGTTGGTGAAATTTCCACAATTCCACAACTTGTGTACTGTTTAGAGTGAAATTGCCATGTAATATAATAGATATAATGGCAAATATCATAATTGGCATTGGCAAAATCGCGGTCAATGTTGCTATTAGACAATAAGAAAGTGACTTTTTACGACTTACCATTAAAATTTTCAAATGGCAGAAACATTTGTAACATTATCTAATAAAATAATAATTTGTTTGTGTTTACAACTTTTGTCTTATCTCATTTATTGGGATAAACGCAATATTAGTACGCAGTTTACATGTACTTTTAATAAGTCATTTAAAGTGTGTTCGTTGCTTTAGATGGCAGTTTTCCAAGTGTTTCGTTATTCACAGTAAATGTGATTGATGTGGTTGTAGGCGATAATAGTTAGTTTTCATCAAATATCCCATACATCAGCTTGTTTGCCATTCCCAGTTGCATAAAAAAGTAATGATGATAGGGTAATGAGCTAACATGCTCACATAATTATTATTATTCCCAGGCTTAATGATCTGGGAAAGCAGTAGCTCTATTACATTAATTATAATTGTGTAATGTTATGATATTGTTTGTAGTAAGTACAATTAACCTCAAGTTTGTTATAATAATGCTAAATAAAAGTGCTTAAGTCGGCAGATAAGACAGATATCGTCGGTTGAACTGTTACTGTAATTTTCAAATAAAATAGCAATTTTCCCAAGATAAACCTTGGTTATTAAAATATGAAATTAACAATAAATTTATATTATTTTCTTTTTATATGCAAAATCTAAATATTTGAATTTAATCACCGTCAGACTTTTTAATTAAACATTTTCAATCATCATAAAAATCATGATTAGATGATTTCATAACTAAATAGTCATTCATGTTTGGCGAAATGAATAAAATTAATTACAAATTGCATTTTTTTCATTAAGGGCGTTGGTAGTAAAGTGGTTTTTATATATTACTTAACTGCAATGAATAGAATTGACGCCCGTGGGGAAATAATTTATAGTGATAAGTTGTTAAAAGATATTAAGTATTAATAGACATAATTTATAGCCATGCTAGTGGCATTTTATAAAAGAGAAGTACCAATTATCTATCACGTTTTACATGCCCAGTGGCGAGATTGGTTTGTAAGTTGACTACAAGTATTATTATTACGCTTAGGCATTTTTTTGCCTCTGCAGTAGGCACATACCACATAACGCTATCTGCTTCTGTTCATTACTCTTTATATTTCTTTTGTCGTGCCGAAGTGTTTTTATGTTATATCTATTCGCAGTAATAAGTTTAATGAAAGATTATATTATTAAATTGTAGTGTGTATTATATAAAATATCCTTATATTTGTTGTTTTTTTAAATATATTTTACTAACAGACCGCTCCGGCTATGCCCGGGTACAATTAGAGAGAATATTTTGAGATTATGTTTGAGATTATTTAATTATACAAAAGTTAAGTGAGAATGTAGTATACATTATAAAATGTTGTATAGTACATAATATAATATATTATACGAGCCGTCCATAACATAATATCTAAATAACAATGAAACTAATATCAAAATTCGTAGCGTGGTATCCGAATAAAAGTTGATTATGTTAATTTTATACAAGCCCTTTGTGAATAATTTAAATAGGAGTTGTTTCCAATAGAAGATTAAGTATGTAACTTTATATCAATATACAATTAATTTAAGAAAAAAAATCTATTAGTACTTTTAAGTTATTTTATTCAAAATCATTTTTACATTGATAATTTTAAGGATTCATAGTTCAACACTTTTTATATAGCCCCTGAATTAATAAATTGATTGTGAAAAGATACGGTAATGTAGGCTTCTATTCGGATCCTAATTATTAATCATTGATGTTATTTTTTATCCTGTGTTGTTTATAGCTCTTGCTCGAGGCTAGACAGTAACTATGTAGGTACTATGAATAATTTCCCTGCACTTGTCAAACGTGATACGCAGGTGTATATGTCTTCATTGGACATATGTGTCAATAATTGTTGTTTCTTTGAATAGTTTCTAAACGGCTCATTTCAGTATCAGCCTGTATCTGCTTGTTTATTTCAACCGGCCTGGCAACAGGCGGCGCCTGTCCACAACGTGCATTTATTACTTTTTGCAACAAGCCACAGGCCCACTAGACGGAATGTTTATGTACGATTTGTTAGTATTGGAGACAGAAATAAAATAAAATTGATGTTATTTTGTCGTAGAGTTTTTTTCTAGTAGATTTTTATTGGTGAAGAAAATAAAACAGCAATCTTTACAACTCGAGGCTGACAAAACATTGTTATGGTTAAAATATGTAAATTTGTATGACATGGTTATTGGTACGTAAGAATCTTATTAAGGATCGAGTAGACTGATTGACTTGATTAAGGCTTTAAGATTATTTCATGGTATTTAGTTTATACATAATATAATTTCTGAGTTTTATATTAGTAACATATAGACACGAATAATCAAAGAGTTAGTCAAGTTTCTTAAATGATATAGTACATTTCAGACTGTTCATATTTTACGTAACATTTAGTCGATAGATTTTTTTTACTCGACAGGTTTAGTTTGGTGTGACTGATGCTTGTTGTTATCCTATCCATTATTTCCAGCATTTTTATGCAAAAATATCGTAGTATTTGAAATAAATTACAAAGTTAGTCAAAATATTCTTTCAGGTATGTATAAGTTAGGTAAGTAAGTCTTAAAACCAAGTAGGTATGTTACAAGATAGCGCACGCAATTTCCATATACACATCGTTCTTATTATGTAGCTTAGGAACGATATTACTAGAGTAAAGTCAGGCTGAGTCGTTTGCCTAGACTATACTCCTACTAGTGTAAAATTTATTTCAAAGGGCAAAAACTACCAGATACCTATAAATCGTATCTACCTGATAGAGCAGTGTGTTCTCGCGAGACAGCTACAGCGTACAGTCAACAAGACCACATTTCGCATTCCAATGCTGTTATTTAAGATTTCTTTATTTTATATATAATTCAGTATAGAATAGAATAATGAAATTTTTTGTACTTTCGAAATAATTGTGATTTATTACTTCTGTTTTCATTTATCCTTACTAATATTATAAGTATGAATATAAGTTTGTTCTTTACCTTAAGAGACTACCCTTAAGGATTAATCAATTATTATGAAATTCTATACACACAGTATATAAGACGAAAAAGGATGTAGGCTTCTTTTTATCCCGGTCAGTAAACATATCCCGGTCACACGATGAAGTCGCGGGTAAGAGCTAATAATTAATAACTGGGAAGATAATTTAACTATAAGGTACTTTTATAAATAAAAGGGAGATGAGGTTC